ATTTGATAACTGATACTAAAAAGTAAGACTTAAATTAAGGTTGTAGAAACTCAATGAGATGAAGTATATTCTCATATAGGAAACTTCAAAATTTAAATAATATATATCTATTACTAATATCCAGAAACTGCACTTACGTTATTAGCTATTAATCTAATCAAACACGTGTAAACTTTTTCTCAATACGCCATGCATTTACAAAAACCTATACCTATTTATACTAATTAACCTTTATTAAACTTAGGCATCCTGAAAGTCCCAATTGGAAGCTAATTGGTCATATAACATTATCTCACTCTTTATTAAGATATTAATAAATATATTTTAATATATAAATATAAAATATTAAATAAATAAAATTATATAAATAAATAAATATAAATAAAATAAAATAAATATAAATATAAATAAAATATAAAAATATATAAATATAATTCCCACTAGAAAGGAGCATTGTGTTTCTTAATAGAAACCAAATATTCCTTAATGTACCTTAAGATATTTTCTCTTTGACAATTGGGTAGCTTTCAGTCATGGTCAGAATACATTGTATAAGTTATGAAGCAGATACAAAATAGGGAAACATTTAAAGATATCATAGTACATAGAAGTAGTAAGTTAATTTAACATAATTAATATTATATCCCTAAAGCATTTAATTCGCAATCAAATAAAATGATTATTTGTCCCTTTCATCTAAATAATACTACTTCAGTGCCTAATAATTATACATAAACAAAGGGTTAACAGAACAAATTCTTCCTTTATATTTTCCAAGATAAAACCCAAGGAAAAAATAAGATTAAGCCAAAGAAAAAGCAAACTATATGACCATGTTATATTTACTGAGTGGGCAATAACAAGTAATATTATATTGAATTTTATTACAAGTAAATAACTTGTAATTACAACTGATGAGGTCTGACCATATCACTTTCGTATAACAGCTTCTAACTTAAGTAACAGAAAACACTCACAGGCTTACATTTAAAAACTAAAATTCAGGAGCAAGAGAGCAAGGGAGCAAGAGAGCAAGATAGAGATACAGAAAAAGAGACAAACAGAAAGATAGAAAACACAATGAGCAAGGAGCTGCCTTACATACAGCCAACACAAGCTCAGTAAACGACATCCCAGAAGATCCCCTGAGCCCTGCCAGGAGTGATCCCTGAGCACTGCCTCATGTGGACCCCCAAACAAAAATAAATTAAATAAAAAAACTTAAATACATTATTTTAGAACACAAGTTTCTCAGGTATATGGATCTCTCTCTGACTCTGATTTCCTTTGTCTCTTTATGCTGACTTTCTCATTTATAAGTATGTAAAATAGCCATAGGTATTGCTAGGTTTACAGCCAAATAATGTGGCAACTATAGTGAAAAATAATTTCTCATTTACAGTAATTCCAGCTAATGTCTCAAGTTAATCCTTAATTGTACATATTGTCACATGCTCCTTGTTAAACTAATGAACATAATCACTAATTTGAGATAGGCTGATTGGACATGGCTGTATCTTTAGCCTTTTCCTTTAATCATGACAATGAATTTGGCTATACCTAAACCATTTTAGCTATGCCTAAGATTAGACAAAGAATTTTTCCTCCTGGAAAATTGCAATGGTATTTTCATATGTATATTAGGTAGAGAAGAATATATATAGGCAAATACAAAGCCCAGTGTTGTAAAAATAAATTAATTGGTATCCTTTTTAAATTTATTGGTATTTTCTTACAGGAAAAATCAATATTCAATTCAATTATAGCCTGTGTCAATTATTCCTTGCGGGACCAATTTCACAACATTCCCATCCACAAACCAAATATGTGGTTACTCAAATAATACATGGCCTTCAAGTCTATTACACCTCTCTGCGATTGTCTCTCTGCCAACACATGCCCAACTGCTACACTCCACCATTGGAAATTCATAATGAAATTTAAATATCCAGATTTAGATAGAGTAAATTTGTGGAACATTTACAACTCTCATTAAATAATAATCTTACAGCTCTTTGTATTTGTAATTTTATGATAACATCTGTCTTTTATAATATATACAATTTAGTTTCCTTGTGATCTTTCTTTCATCAGAATTGTGAATAACTTGGAAGTACAGATTAATGCATCATTTGATATATCTCTGTCTAGATCAGTAATAGTGTTGTTTATGTTGGAAATATTAGTTATCAAATAAACCAGATTGAATAATGTTACGGGCTGGAGCGATAGCACAGCGGTAAGGTAGGGTAGAGTAGGATAGGGTAGCATAGCCTTACAAACGGCCAACATGGCCGACCCGAGTTCGATTCCTCCACCCCTCTCAGAGAGCCTGGCAAGCTACCAAGAGTATCTCGCCCGCACAGCAGAGCCTGGCAAGCTACACGTCAGGTATTCGATATGTCAAACACAGTAACAACAAGTCTCATGATGGAGAGTTATTGGGCCCGCTCTAGCAAATCGATGAACAATGGGGTGACTGTGACCATGAGTAATGTTACAAATTCACCAGTTAAATCTCATCTTCAAGTAAAACACTTGAATGAAGGTATCTAAAAATCATTGAAGTAAGCACTGATTATAGTAGGTGTAATAAATATTATGGATCTTTTAAAAAATTCCTGTGCTGGGGCTGGAGCAATAGCACAGAGGGTAGGGCATCTGCATTGCATGCGGCCGGCCCTGGTTCGATTCCCAGCATCCCATACCCTGAGCACTGCCAGGGTTAATTCCTGAGTGCAGAGCTAGGAGTAACTCCTGTGCATGGTCAGGTGTGACTCAAAAAGCAAAAAAAAAAAAAAAAAAATTCCTGTGCTACTTTGAATAGCTTTAAAAAAAATACAGTATTTGTTAAAAGGGAGAATAAAAAAGAAACCAAATAAAGGAATTCTCTGGGCAAACAAAAAGTGTGATACAATTTTATTTCATTTTTATTTTTTAACAGAAGCTTGAGTACATAAGTTGAAGGCATTAATCACTGTATCACTGTCATCCCATTATTAATTGATTTGCTCGAGTGGGCACCAGTAACGTCTGCATTCGTCCTAGCCCTGAGATTTTAGCAGCCTCTCCTTACTCGTCCTCCCCAATGGTGCCCCATTGGAGGCTCTTTCAGGGCCGGGGAATGAGACCCGTTATTGTTACTGGTTTTGGCATATCGAATACACCAGGGGAGCTTGCCAGGCTCTGCAATGCGAGCAGGATACTACCAAGAGTATCCTGGAGAATATAGTGACATTTAATTAAGGATCCTTTTTTGTTTTCCGGCCAGAAAGGGTACCAGAAAGTTAACGCACAGCACACTCAGTTAAGCTGTCTGGGGTTTGACAGGAGATCAGCACACTCAGTGGAAATATCAGGGGTAACTCAAAATAGGAGAAACCTAAATCCAACACCAAAAACAAGGGAAGCCAGAAAACAAAAGTACAAGAAAAAACTCAAACTCAGGGAGGCAGAGGCAGAAAACCACAAAAGTGAAGACGGTGAGGGCCAAAGAGGCAGCCTTGGGGAGGGGGCGGGACTGGTATTAATATGGATTAAACTAATCCAAATTAAATTTTATTTAAAAAATCTCTCTGTCACCACCCACAATTAGAAGGTGAGAAAAATTAGATGTTTTATATGAATAATTATTTTGATTCTACCTGAACTCACTGGGCAAATGGAATATGAAAAATTGAGTTATTTGGGGGGGATGAACTGTGTCATTGTTCTCAAGTATAGTCTTTAACATGCCAGGATATATACCCCTTAACTAACTTAATCAAACGCTTCCTCTAACCAAATATCATAAATCCACAGCATGTTTCTTAATGTTTTTTGACTGTGGCCCCCTGCTCAGCTGTTTCGGACCCCCTGTTCTACTGATCATTCTCCTAGTTTCATTTGTGCTCCCAAATTTTCACCTGTGGCCTTGTTGGAGTATTCTGGAAGCCCACGGGAGAACACGTGCCCCCCTCCCCATTGAGAAATGTTCATGTAGGGGCTGGAGAGATAGCACAGCGGGTAGGGCATTTGCCTTGCATGTGGCCAACCCGGGTTCGATTCCCAACATCCCATATGGTCCCCTGAGCACCACCAGGAGTAACTCCTAAGTGCAGAGCCAGGAGTAACCCCTGTGCATTGCCAGGCATGACCCAAAAAGAAAAAAAAAAGAAAAAAGAAATGTTCACGTACAGTGGCATTAAAAGCCAGGCTACAATGGACCTTCCTCATTACGGCAACATTACTTGGAAATGATCACTCTGGACAAGAACTGAGTGTTGAAAGTAGATAAAGGGATATACATGATAACCTTTCAACATCTGTATTGCAAAGCACTAAAAGTTCAATTGAATAAAGTTTTCTTTTGGGTATTGGGAAGCCATTAATACCCAAAAGAAAACTTTATTCAATTGAACTTTATTCAATTAGTTGCATAAATATATTTAAGTAGCTCCCTGATGAATTATCAAAAAGTGTGATGTTTTATTGCCTTTCAATTGAGAAAGTTATGATAAAGAAAAACGTATCTCTGAGAAATTGAAAATGAGAATTGCTATGTAACTAGGATGACTTTGGCATGGCACTTTGAAGAAATGTAATACAGCTAGATGCATTGGGGGTTTTAATTTAACGAATAAATAACTATATTATACTAGAACCTGCAAAAGCCTGCTAAAAGTCAAAGAATAGGCACAGGAGGGTAAAATAAGATGAAGGACAGTGCCTGATATACCAATAGGCCCTTGGCCATACTTACTGCTTCTAAATGGATTTCAATCTGACTTCACTCTGATGCCTACTTGGTACCAATGGGGGCATGGAGACATAGTGGGTGGGTAGGCAACAAAATAGAAATTTTAAGTAGGGTCTCAACTACTGATTCACTATATGCAGCTCAACTGTGATGTAGAATACAGTGGTGCATGAAAAAAAACACTTTAAGTAGAACGTAATGTAGAATCTAGTTATTATACTTAAAATATGCCATAAACATTACTTTTTAATTATTCTTCAAGATGGAAAACTCAAATTTTGAAGATGAAGATGTTTTCCAGTGCCAGTACAACAATAAGACTCAAGAAGACTTTGACAAATTTGTGAGTAACCTGAGTGAAGAAGATTACAAGCTTATGAGAGACAATAATTTACTAGGCAACCCGGGTGAATATACAGAAGAAGAGTTGCTGAGAAGACTTCAGTGGATTAAAACGGTGCAAGATGAAGATGAAAATACAGGTGTATTTTATTTGGGGGAGGAATGGACAATGGATTTTAAAATTTATAATTTTATGTAATTTTGCCAAAAACAAATTTGATTAAGTAACTATTAAGTAAATATTCATTTAAAAAGAATTTTCATTGGGGCTGGAAAGCGGTGCTTGCCTTGCATGCAGCTGACTTGGGTTGAGAACCTGGCATCCTGTATGGTCCTCCAGTTTATCAGGAGTAAACCCTGAGCATCACTCTGTGTGGCCTCCAAATCAAAATAAATAAATAAATAAAATTAAATAATTTGCATTTATATTTACATGATCATTGGTTACAAATATCTCAGTAATATCTCAGTAAAAGACTCAGAATAAAATAAAATATATTTCAGTTTGTCAGAGGACAAGATAAATATAATAGCATAGTAACTGTGCAACAGTTTAGAAAGAGATTATATAGATGCATTAACTAACTTCAATTTTAAAAGAATTGGCATTTACTTGATCTTTGATGAGAATCTTAAGGGTTTTCCTTACCGCATTCTCATTCAGTTTTTTTCTCTCTTATTTTTATTAAGATTCCATGGTTCACAAGGATATAAATTACAGTTCTGCGCAGATATTTTCACAACCTCACACCACCACCACAGTGCCTGACTCCACCCTCCCCACACACCAACTTGGTAAGTTCAATTCTGTAGGCTGATTCTCCATGTCTACTGTCTCTGGCTATTTGTTGCTCCCTTACTATGCATATTTATTTTGATTTATATTTTAGAGATTTTTGCTTTGGAATGGTCTTTTTGATTCAGAAAATTCTTTAAATTTTTAATTTCCAGGTGTTTGAGCTGTTTTCCTCATTTATGTCTGTGATTAACTTTCATTTTCAAGGCATCATGCTCTCGACAGTTGATACGAGTTCTTGATTGTATGGAGATTTTTTTTGTGACCTGGCATGTTGTCTATCTTCGAGTATATTGTGTGTGCACAGGTGAAGACTGTGTACTCAACTGTTGGGCTGATCAAGGGTCTGCTAAGTCCATTGTTTACATTTCTTCCTTCAAGTTTACTATTTCTTGTTGAATCTATCCAGAAGTGTTTAAGTCTCCAATTAAGCCTACTTGATCTATCCAGCAGTCTTTATGTCTCCAATTACTACTGTGTTGCTACCAATATCTTTCTTCGTGTTAATTAACAGTTATTTTAAATATTTTGATGGTCTATCAATGGGTGCAGATATTTTGGGAGTGTGAGTTCATGATATGTATATCCTTTGATCAAAAAATATGCAAGCCTGTGATGAATACTTGTCCAATTTTAAGTCTGCCTTGTCTGAGATAGATGTGGCAAAAACTGCCTTTTTAAGATAATTTTTTCTATGTTTTTGTTTTCCAGTCTTTGACTTTGAACTTATGTTTACCTTGGCTGTTCAGACATATTTCTTCTAGTCAGCAATAAGTTGGACTCAGTTCTCTGATCCATCCTGCAATTCTCTATCGCTTGAGTGATGAACTCAAGCCACAGAAAATGAGATTACAGACATGGAAATTTATTTACATCATTTTGTAGTAGTTATGTGGGTATGAAAAGTTTAGCTTGTTTTTTAATCAAACCCGTTGGATGCATCTTCAAAACTAGTTTCACTGTTATGAGGTTCCTAAGGTGTTGCTTGTCCACAAAGTTTTCTATAATTCCTTGAAATGTGAATGATAATCTGTTTCAATTCCTCCACCCCTCTTGGAGAGCCTAGTAAGCTACCGAGAGTATTACGTCTGCACCGCAAAGCCTGGCAAGCTACTCCTGATGCATTCAATATGCCAAACATAGTAACAACAAGTCTCACGATGGAGACGTTACTGGGCCCACTCGAGCAAATTGATGAATAACACGAGGACTGTGACCGTAACCGTGAATCTATCTGTATAAAATGTTCTTGGTGAGGAATGAATTTCATTAAGTTCTTTTACAGTATCTCCTCATTTTCTTCTGACACATAAGATCTCACTTGATAGATCTGCTATGAGTTTATGTGATTTCTTTTCTATGTTAGTTTCTTCTTTGATCTTGCTGCTTTAAATATTCTGAATTTGTCTTTTATCACTCTAATTATAATGTGTCATGGAGTAGTTTTTTGGGGGTCTACTTTGGCTAGAACACCTTCTGTACACTTGGATATGACTGCATCCAGTGCACAACTCTAGGAAATTGTCATCTCTTTGAGAGAGTACCCACTGTACTGTCTTCTCTGGTCCAAGTCTTAGATTTTGAAACATTATGTATTATCAAAAATACTCTATTTCAAATGCTTAGAAGCAAAGTTATAGATTAGTTATAACATTTATGTATAATTAATTAAAGTAAAAGCACATAAAACTTGTATTTATCTTATTTTTCATTAATGTTTGAACCACAGATGAAAAGTCTCTTGGCATTCCTCCCACTGTAGAACACATAGTTGTGTAAATCATGAATGCTTAAAATAGACTTCCTTCAGATATTTTAAATTTTATAATAGAATTAGTTAACTCATTACATATGACTTAAAATTTTACTGTCTTGTAAATATAGACAGTGCATTTTACAAAATATTACTTCTAAAAATGTGAGATATGCTGAAAATACCATAGCATTTAAGTTACTGCTTTTTATTTGGGGACAAAATTTCAAAGTACTACTTTTTTTTAATGAAAGCAAGCACTTATTTTTTAAAGGTAGAGGAGGCAGGTGAAGGATGCTAGAACACAGTTGGGATGAAGTTTTAACTAAAGTAAGAGAGAGAGCAGCTAAGATCGTCCAAGTGTAGAAATAGGGGGTCCATGGTGGTGGTGGTGGTGGTGGTGGTGGTGGTGGTGGTGGTGGGTGGGTGGGCGGGATGAGGTGTCAGTACCAACAATGTCTTTTTTACCTTTGTTTTTCAATTTATGATTCCTACCTTTCCCATTCCCACCCACACTCCTCCTGAATATCTGGAGGCTGAGGTCCTGACCATAGCTGGTCACAGATATGGGTTGCTATGGTAACTGCAAACAGTCAGGGTGTCTGCTGGTAGGCATTTTGTTTAACATTTATATATATATGTATATTTTATTGAATCACTGTGAGATACAGTTACAAAGCATTCATGATTGAATTTCAGTCATAAAATGATCAAACACCCATCCCTCCATCCATCCCCATTCCACCCCCTGCCTCTGTGCCAGTCACTTTTCTTCTTACTCTCTCTACTTTGGGCCATCATGGTTTGCAATACAGATACTGAGAGGCCATCATGTTTGGTCATTAGTCTACTTTCAGCATGTATATCCCATCCCAAGCAACCCCTTCAACCATCATTGACTTAGTGGTCCCTTCTACATCCCAACTGCCTTCTACCCTAGCACATTAGGCAGACTTCCAAATGGTGGAGTAATCCTCCTGGTCCTTGTCTCTACTGTCCTTGGGTGTTAGTTTCATATTGTTATTTTATATTCCACAAATGAGTGCAGTCATTCTATGTCTGTCCCTCTGTTTATGACTCATTTTTGATCATCATGATACTCTTCATATCCAGCCATTTAATAAGCAAATTCCATGTCTTCATTCTTCCTAATTGCTGTATAGTATTCCATTGTGTAGATAGACCAACGTTTCTTTAACCAGTTCTCTGTTCTCAGGCATTCAGGTTGTTTCCAGATTCTAGCTATTGTGAACAGTGCTGCAATAAACATACAAGTACAGAGATCCTTTCTACTGTGCTTTATTGCATTCCTACGATATAGTACCATATTCCCAGAAATGGTATTACAAGGTCATATGGAAGCTCAATTTCTAGTTTTTATAGGGAATGTCCATATTGTTTTCCAAAATGGCAGGGCCAGTTTCCATTTCCACGAACAATGAATGAGAGTCCCTTTCTCCCAACATCCTCACCATCACTGGATGTTCTTGTTCTTTTTGATGTGTGCCAGTTTCTGTTATGTAAGATATCTTATTTTTGTTTTGATTTGCATCTCTCTGATTATTAGCGATGTAGAACATTTTTTCATGTGCCATTTGGCCATTTGTATTCCTTTTCTGAGGAAGTTTCTATTTCTTCCCCCCATTTTTTATGGGGTTGAAGGGTATTTTCTTGAGAGGTTCTACTGGTGTATTATATATCCTGATTATTAACCCCCTATCTGATGGATATTGGGTAAATAATTTCCCATTATGTCGTCTTTTGGTAGTTTGGTCACTGTTTCTTTGAGGTATAGAAGCTTCTTAGTATAATGTAGTGTCATGTGTTTATGTTTGTTTCCACTTGCTTGGTCAGTGGTGCTTTATCCTTAAAGATGCCTCTAGCTTCAACATCATGGAGGGTTTTGCCTACATTTCCTTCCATATACCTTTTAGATTCAGGTCCAATATTGAGGTCTTTTATCCACTTTGATCTGGCTTTCATGCTTTGTGTTAGACAGATGTATGAGATCATTTTTTGCTTGTAGCTGTCCAGTTTTCCCTGCACCACTTGTTGTAGAGTCTTTCCTTGCTCCACTTCACATGTATTGCTCCTTTATCAAAGATTAAATGATCATATACTTGAGAGTCTGTCTTAGAATATTCATCTCTGTTCCATTGGTCTGCAGGTCTGTTTCTATTCCTATACCATGATGTTTTAATTACTACTGCTTTGTAGTAGAGTTTGAAATTGGGGAAGGTGATGCCACCAATCTCCTTTTTCCTAAGTATTGTTTTAGCTATTCTTGGGGGTTTACTGCTCCATATGAATTTCAGTTGTGTTTTGTCTATTTCTTTGAAGAATACCAGAGGTATCTTTATAGGGTCCACATTGAATCTGCATAATGCTTTGGGGATGTCAATTAACATTTGATAATGTTAATCCTCCCTATTCACAAGCAGGGGATGTGTCTCTATTTCCTGGTGTCCTCTTTTATTTCTTGAAGTAGGGTTTTTCAGTTTTCTTTGTATAGTTCCTTCACCTCTTCAGGTAAAATTATTCCAAAGTACATGATTTTCAGATGCACTACTGTGAACAGGATTATATTTTTAAATATCTCTTTCTTCTCTTTCACTATTTGTATATAGGAAAACCATGAACTTTTGGGTACTGATTTTGTACACTGCCAATTTATTATAGAAAGCTTTACTTTCTAGGAACTTTTTAGTAGAGTCTTTAGGATTTTCCAAGTATAGTATCATGTCATCTGCAAATAATGATAGCTTGAGTTCTTCTTCTCTGATATGGATGCCCTTGATATCTTTTCTCTTGCCTAACTGCTATGACAAATCCAGTACTATATTGAATGGAAGTGGTGAATGTGAGCAAACTTGTCTTGTCCCTGAACTTACAGTGAAGGCTCTTAGTTTTTCACCATTGAGAATAATGCTTGCTGTGGTCTTGTAGATGTCATTGAGTATATTGAGGAAAATTCCTTCAACTCCCATTTTGTTGCAAGTTTTTTCATAAATGGGTGTTGTATCTTGTCAAATGCCTTCTCTTAATCTATTGATATGACCATACGATTTTATCTCTCCTTTTATTGATATTGTGCATTATGTTCATTGAGTTGTGAGTGTTGAACCATCATTGCATCCCTGATATAAATTGGACATGGTGTATGATCTTTTTGATGAGTCGTGGATTCTATTTGCTAGTATTTTGTTGAGAATCTTTGCATCTGTGTAATCAAGGATGTAGCACAGT